GTGCCATCACGAGTGTACGTCTCGTCGCCTCGACTCTTTCGGTCTCGCGAGTCGTTCGGATCTCGATTCGACGAAACGTTCGAGGAAGGAAATCCACGGCTGGTCGGCGTCGGTGCCGATCAAACAGAAATTAGAGCGATGTTTTGAGGTAGCTTCTTTTAGCGACGCATCCGTTATACTTGAGTTTGGACGAGTTGTTTTTGCGTGTCGACGGAGTAAATTACATTCGCGCGATTCGGAAAAATAGAGTTTCTGCTTTCGCGAGTCTTTGTACTTGCGTTTAATTGAGCATCGCGCGTGAGAGCTCGCTTTCCGAGAGTTTGTCCAGAAGGAAATGAAAGAACTTTACGGTAACGACCAGAGAGGAAAGGATGGATAGATGGAGGATAGAGAGAGAGAGAGAGAGAGGGAGAGGGAGAGAAAAAGAGGGGAGTGGAGAGGGGAGAGTGGTAAAGGGAAAGAACAGAGGAAAGGAAGAGAGATTGAAACGAGAAGAATTAGGCCACAGGGGTGGGTGGTAAGTATCGCGGAATGGGATGTATTCGACGAGTGCCAGGAATCGAGCCACGCATAAAGGGACCGACTATCAAGCGGTAAATAATTAACGTTCTGGCAATTTATTCTCAATTCGATTATCTTCGTACGGCCCGATCGACCATATCTTACCCATCGAACGATATCTCGGAAAGTCACGACTCTCGCGCTTTTCTATACTATATACTTGACTCTTTGTGTTTCGCACGCTTCCAGCGTTCCGCGTCTTACTTCCCCTTCTATTCGAACTGATTATCGTTAAACGCATAACATCCTATAATCTTTAATGTAGTAACGAGACATGTACATAGATAGATTGACGCGCGCCGCTGATCTTCGCGTACGTACTCGCGTCTGAGTGCTTGTGAGAACCGAAGCACGCGTTGTGTATGTGCGTGTATAATATATATATGTATGTATGTATAGATACGTAACAACTATTTGATATCGAACACAATGGTACTAAAGATAAAGCTAGAACACGACCGAAAAGGTTCGGTCGTAACGCGTCGCGTTGTTAACTCGTTCGTTTCATCGTCCGAGAACGTCGCGTCGTGTCACTTGCTCGATCTCGATCGACGACGCGCGATGCGTCGCAACGAGCTACGTAATCGACACGGCGTATTTCTTTTACGATGATCAGGTTCTTTCGTTACAGTTTTCCTCAGGTGATTTTCTGATCATCGGTTCGTTCGTTTCTTTTCTTCATTTTTCGTCATCTTCGGTCTCGTCCTGCGAAGGCCGATCGAAAGTTGGTCGTACGCACGCACGCGCACTCACACACACACACTCACATGCGACTCGAAACTTCAGACAGTCGAAATGGCAAAAGATTCGCGCGGGACCGAAGATTGTTCGTCTTATTCGCGGCGATCGACGCTGCGACGCCTACCACGACGCAGTCACGAGTTTGGTAAACGCAATTCTGATACCGATCGTCGTATCAAGGGAAAACTCAAAGCGGTTCTGGATCAAAGCATCGAACGAAAGACTTCGAAACGAAGGAGCCGATTTGAGATCGTAACGGTAACCGTAATGGCGACCGAGATCGGTAGAGAGAAGATAGCCGTCGACGACGATTTTTAGCGCCGATTCGGGGACGAGGAGAACTTGGCTTTCGAATCTGCCGCTCGTTCCAAACCGAAAGGTCGTACGCGTTCGGGATCGAAACGCGTTCTGCGGCGTTTCGGTTTCGTAAAATCGGTAGCGGCAACGATCTCGCCCGATTCAACACGGTCTCCAGATGTATCGTAGTCCGACACGGTTTTTCCCCGTGTCCCCGACCGAATCTCCCTCTTATTCTCCTTCGCGACTTGTCTCGTTCCTTCTTCTGCTTTTTTCTCGTCGCTCGTCACACGCCACTCTCGCCACCTCTTCTTTCTTATTTCTCCCTCTTGTTGGCTCGTCTCGTGTCGTGTCGTCACGCAATCTCGAGAGGTATCCGTTGGACGATCTCGAACAGCGTCGAGAGCGCGCGTCGCGCTTTACATCGACGTACGAGATGCTCCGAGGAGCTCGGAAACTCGGTCGAATCGTTCCGGATCACGACCGGATCCGTTGTTCGACCGTTCCCGAACTGTCGGGAAGATATCGTCCTCCCGTTGTTACCTCGTGTACGCGATCGCCTTCTCGCGAAAATCAACCGGCAATGGTCGGGGTAGAACTGTCGCGCCCGAGCCGCAGCAGCCCGCAACACACGACCCGACCGATTCTCTCTTCTCCTTCCCAACCACCTCTCATCCCTTCGCGAACCCCTCGCAAAACCCCTCTTCTCTCCTCTCTCTCTCTTCTTCCACCCCCGACCTGTCCTCTCTTCTCCTCTCTTCTCCTCTCAACCCCTCCGCTTCCTATCCGCCTCTCACCAACACTCCCCGCCGTTGCTCACCTCACCTCGCCTCACCCCTCTGCCACGCTTTCCAACACCACCCTACCCTCTTCGCCTCGCCACCCTCGCACTGTGCTCTCGCTTTTCTCCTCGCCTCCTGCCGCATCGCCCTGCCACGTTTTACCTCGCCTCTCCTTTCCACCGATCATTGCCATTCCCTCCTGCAACCCCCTGTTCTATTCTGTCCTCTTTCTCTTCCTCTACATGGGTACATATGCACACACACGTACACACACGTATACTAATGCGCGATGAAGCACACGGGAACGGAATCTCTTCCGTATCCGGCAACGGCCCATCCCTACGTGCTTTCCGTTCTTCCACCTTCGTTGTAGCTACCAACAATTCCTATCCTATCTTCCCCTCTCGTAACCAGAGATTCGTCGCGCGTTTCGACGGTTCACCGAATCGACCTTTCATTCGATTCCTTTCTCGGGATACGCGGACAGAACGAACCGACGTGAATCGCACGAAAAATCTGCTTCTGCTCGCTCGAAGAAAGGAGCCGAAACACACGAATGAGAAGATATGAAATCGCGCGCGCGCGCGCTCGCCAATCTTCCAACTTGACCCGCGTTTTCCTAAAAATGGGCGAGGCATTGCCCTTTCCTGAACTTTCAGCTTTGCCGGATGAGATATCCCAGCCAACCGAATCCTGAAAGGAGAAGAGAGTGACCCGTTTTTCGTCTCGCTTCTCCCATCCGGATCGTTTGCCTTGCGCGCGATTCTCCCTCTTCGTTTTCGACACGATCGTCTCCGAGTCGCTCCGAGATTCCACGAGAACCGTGCCGTTCACGGGGGTGCGATACAGCACTACCACCCCTGCTACGCGTGTCAAACTTTCTCTTCGTGCTTAGCTACTTAACTATCCACATACGCACGCACGCACGCACACACACACACACGTGTTACCTCGACTCGGATACGCGTCTCTAGACGCGTCCGCGTCGGACGCCCTTACCCGCC